CAAATCCAATAACCCTCTCAACAACAACAACAACATATAAAAAGAGAAACACAGAAGTGAAAAGTTTTAACACAAAATAATATATGCAAAGTATTAGTTGAATTTTGTTTTCGACACTTTCAGTTCTTTAACTTTGGTTCTTTCAGTTCACGTTTTCGCACAAACAGTTTAACAAAGTATAGCAATTCAAATGTACAAACGAAAAACAATGTAAAACAAGCAAAGGAAATGAAAAGAATTTCGAGCTAGAGGTTTTTAATTAAAATATGCGCATAGTTGGCTTTCATTTTCTTTATGAGGATCTGTGATCTTTGCTGCAACAACAAAAACAAAAAATCAACACACAAAAATAATATAACAATGAAAGCCTTTAAATGTAAGCGTATAATTCTTAATAGAAAACAAATTGATGTGCAATTTTCTTTTTATGTCATTCTTCTTTGAGTTTTCGTTTTCTTTTTCTTTTTGTATCGTTTATTTCTTGCAACAAATTAAATAAATGTATCTAGAATAAGTATCAGAGTTTAAAAAAAAATGAGAAAAAGGAATTCATTTGATGCGCATATTAATTAAGTCAAATTGTGACGGTATATATATATATATATATATATATATATATAGATATATATATATAATTCTAGTCTTACACTTTATTTGAACAATTACGAAAAATGTCACGTATTTTTAAGAAATTTTAAACTTAATGTTCAAAGCGAGGCAAACTCTAAACAGTTGAATGCAATACAAGCTAGCGTCTTTGCATGCCCAACTTCCAATCGTCGTTTAAATCAAACTAACTATCCATTAAAAAAGATATATCCGAACTACTATACACCATATAAGACATACAGTATACAGTATACTCTACAGCTATAGCCAACCTCCTCTAAAATGCTTACCAAACGAAAAAACACAATACAGAAAATACTATTAAATACAGTACCACAGATCTATATAGATATGTCTATATATACATACTAAAGATTTATATATTTAACCACTACAAACCAACAACAAAATACCGCTATATAAAAATGCAAAATAGTAGAAAACAATAACAAACAAAACAGCTAACCAAAAACAATAACTGCAATAAAACTCAATAAACAAATATTTTTATATAAATGCAAATGAAAAACAGAAAAACTTATACCAAATACAAAAAGTTAAAAGAAGACAAGAGGAGATTAGAATGTGGATAAGGTATATGATGAATGAAAGGCATAAAACAATAACCGAAATAAAGTGCAAACACTTCATGCAAGTGAAAAAGTAATTAACTGTTCAAATACATAGCATTTTTTGAGATTAACTTAATCTCGTTAATCTCAAAAAATGCTATGTATTTGAACAGTAAAGATCTAAACAATACCAATATACGTTTTATCATATGATGTACCAGCATATTTACATATAGTTATACGGAATGCTTCAAACGAATATACAATGAAAAAGAAAAAAAAAAAAAAAAGAAATCTTAATACCAAATAGTTGTAATGCTTTCGTTTAGCATTTCCCTCAATTTTCACATCTATTATAAATATTGTTTTGAAATATCACAAAAATGTGCTTTGAGCAACAAGTTTTTGATAAAGTAAATTAAACTCTTAGAGCTTTTATAAGAACAACTCTTAAATTTAAATATGTGATAAAAGAGAGCGTGTAAAGATATCTTTTATAACTAATTTGAAGATCTAAATTTTGAAAATGTATGCTTACATATATCGGAGTATTGACAAGGCTACAGAATATAAACAAAGAAAGAAAAAAGAGAGAGAGATAGGAATATAGAAATTAGGCATTTTAGATTGTGCTCGCTTTACTCGTTTACAATATAAGACTATTGGCAAGAGAGTACTCTTATATTTTAAATACAATTATAGTCACAAAAATTCATTTTATTATCTATTCTCTCTTTCTCGCATTCTCTGTTGACATTTTGTTGAGATTTTGCTCTTAGAACACCATTGCTAAAAGCTTTTCAAATACTAAGCCTTTTAATACTAATAACTTGTTGCTCATCGCAGCATTTGCACACAATTCCCAGTATTTTGTTTAGCTTTTGTTTCCTTATGCATATCCAATTGAATGTAGGTTCATACTTTGCGTAGTTATCAATGTTCTAGCTATATACAATATTTATATATGTATGCTAATTAAGTTCCAAGCATATATATATATATTTAAAGTAATGTGTACGTGATTGAAGAATGCAGCAGCTTAAGGGATATACAAAGCAAATGGGAAATTCTTCAAAGGGATTTTCGCTTTTTTTGCGGCTTTGTGCGTTGCCATGGGATAATTCAAATACTTGCAATAAAGTACAAATACTAATTATAAATACAAAAATGAAAACACAAAACCAGATGATGAAGAAAATGCAGCAGCAGCCACTCAAACCATACAAAAGGCGATTAAGCCAACAAAAAGTATTAGCCAAACGTTACATATAACAAATAGCCAGAAAAAAAGTGTAAAAAAAACTAAAAAAAAAAAAACAACTTAATTACAGTTAATACTTTATAGTATATATATCTATATATATACATAGCACATTTTGACTACACTTACGTAGTTTGCCCAACAATAATTATGAAGCGAATCAAAAGTGTGTCAAGAACTGTATGAAAAAATCACTTCGCAGAGCCCATCAAGAAATAAGCAACCTTCAAAGCCCACGCAGAACTTATCTAATTCGCAATTGTTTTTGTTCCGTTTAGCATACTCTTGTAAATCACTCACATAAGAAGTTATAAAACAATAAGTTTATAAACGACAAAAAAAATGCAATAAATGACAAACAAAGGAAATTAAATCACTCAGGGATGAAGCCTCCAAACAAAAAAAAAAAACAAAAAAACTTAAACTAAATACAAACAAATATAAAGTAAAAATGCAATATTTTAAATAAAACTAAATACGAAGAAAATACAAATTAAATTTATAAATAAATGCAAAAAAGGTACATTTTAAAGTTAAAAATATTTTAGTATAAAGCAAGAAAAAAATGTAAAAAAAAAAAACAACAAATCTAAAAGATCATTAGGAATTTGCACAAATTTTTGGCATTTTATAAAAAAAAAAATGAGCATAAAGCAGCAAAGAAAACATAAACAAAACCAAAAACTATAAACAAAACAAAACATATTTTTCCAAACATTAAAACTCAACAAAATTGGTTTAACGAAGGTATAAACGTCAGCAGAAGAAAATGAAAGAATTAAATTATTGAAATGATGAAAATTGCAAAAAAAAAAAATAAATAAATAAGGAAATATATATTTAACACAGTCCGTGCAACTCTTAGTGAATTTAAATGAAATGTATTACAATTTACATATTTACAAACTAACGGAACGGAACGGAAACGGAAGCGAAAGCGGCCAAAGATGAGGTTAGAATTGTAGTTAGAAGTACAGTGAAGCCTATGAACATTATTCAATTCAGGCAGACAGGCAGTTTATATTATGTAAACATTTTTATATATACCCTAACTAAGAAAAAATGAAAACTTAAAAAATTAATGTATGTCTGCATTGTACTGTATTTATGTTTAGTGTCAGCAGCAACTATATTAAAAATTAAAATGAAAACAAAAAGAAAAAGAAAATGATGATGGTGAGAAGAGAAAAACATAAATTGAGAAAGCTTAATACATTTTAAGGTTAGGTTTTCTGCGAAAGGACTGAAGTTAAGGCAACGTAGCGTTTAAAACAAAATTGCGAGTGTTATGGACAAGGATGTGGGCGACAACAAAATTAACAATAAAAAATAATTAAAAAAAAAAAGAAAAACTAAAAAAAAAAATAGGAACGCATGCGGAGACGAAATTGGTTTAAGGTTAGGCATACTTTCGAGCTAAAAAAATATTAACAAATGAAAAATAGAGAGATCAACAAGTTACCAGCAGCAGCTACACTATTTTTATAATTAAACTACTTCTTTCTTTTAACTATGTTTAATTAAAATACAATTTTTCGATTCGTTTAAGACAAATTTACTGTTTTGTGATCAAAATATACATAAAAAGAGACACAAAAAATGCATTGACTTTAAAAGAAAACTTAGTTCGAAAATTCGCTGTTGTACGGCAATAGGAGAGCAAGGATACAGTAAATTGTACTTACACAAACACACTCACAGCCACAGAAAAAACATACACACTTTGAATTATATTTACTTGAATTAAATAATAATAATGAGTATATATAACTTTGTACTTGAATAATATTTTATTTATATATATACATATATATATATAAAACTTAAGTCAATAAAAATTCTAATAAATTATAATCACCTAAAATATTGAATCGCTTATTTGTTAATTGTATATATGAAGTATGTATTTACAATTTGAGCGCGGGAAAAGCCATTTTGGACCATTTTTAAATTACCCATATAATAATGGGATATTACTCAAACTCTTCTGCTCTGTTCCAGTTCGATGGGCATCAACAAGCTCTTAAATAATTTAAATCGATTTAAATAAACTTCATAATGATAACTATTCCTTGCGTTGTCAATTCGTCAAGTTATTTTTATCTATTTATATATTTCAAAATTAAATAAACTAAATTGTTATTAGTTAGTGCGATTTTTTTTTAATTTTTACTATTACAAAGACTCGCTTTGAGTTAAGCAGTTAAAAGTAATCTTGCAATTAAACAAGAAAAGACGTAATTACTCAATAATTTATTTGTTTTAAATGCAAATATAATCACGTTTAATTTTATAAATGTGTTTTTAATAATAGATACATTAAAAATACTTATAAGCTAGTGAATCATCGTGAACTATGTTAAGTTAACAGTGAACAAAGCTAATCTGGTTAAACCATCATGTGTACAGTGCCAATCGAGTGAAGTTTCTCATCTGTTTTACGCCTGTTCTACAGAACTTTTGATTAATTTTTGTTGATTGTTCGCGTCGGTCGGACGTGTTTCTTTTAAGTGAGACCAGGTTGCACGTGTACAATAAACGTGGTTGAGTTGACTTAAAAGTCGACAATAGTAAAATGGTGACAAAGAATGAAGATCAAATGAAAGCGCTAGCGCTTAAATTGTTTGAAATCAATGCATTCAAATTTGGGGATTTCAAAATGAAGGTCGGCATCAATTCTCCCGTTTATTTCGATTTGCGAGTTATCGTGAGCTATCCAGATGTAATGGTAAGTGAGAGGGGGACGGAAGACCACAATTGGGCATTTCCTATACTCTTACAACTATTGCAGCAAACCGTTGCCGATCTGCTGGTGGCACAGATCAAAGAGCTGAAGCTGAGCTCCAAGCACGTTTGCGGTGTACCTTACACCGCTCTGCCGCTGGCCACCATTGTTTCGCTGCAGCAGAAAACGCCCATGCTCGTGCGTCGCAAAGAGGCCAAAGCCTACGGCACCAAGAAGCTCATCGAGGGCATTTTCCAAGCCGGCGACACTTGTCTTATTGTCGAAGATGTGGTAACATCGGGCTCCAGTATTTTGGAAACAGTACGTGATCTGCAAAGCGAGGGCATTGTGGTCACCGATGCCGTGGTTGTGGTCGATCGGGAGCAGGGCGGCGCTGCCAATATAGCCAAACATGGCGTGCGCATGCACTCCCTCTTCACGCTCTCCTTTTTGCTCAACACGTTGCACGAGGAGGGACGCATTGAACGGTCCACGGTGGATGCGGTAGCGAAGTATATTGCGGCAGTGCAGATAAACACGGATGGCTCGTTTATTGGCGGCGATAAGCCTGCAACCCGTAAGTAGATATGAACCCCTCATATATAATATACACACAAACTTATATATATATCACACATATACATACTTATACACATATACATATATCTGTATGTGTATGTGCGGCGCGTGAGGTAATTTAGTTTATGATTACGTTGACATCCACACCAAAATCAGCTTTCCAGCTGTTTCAATTAGGGCAGTTTCATATAAATATACATATATATATAAATATTTTATTTTTGTTACCCCCAAGTCATAAATTTGCCAATTTTCCTTAATTTGAATGGCTTTAACATGCTAATCATACCAGATATGATAAATGACTATATAAAATATTTGATAGATGGTGTTATAACTAATTATATTAACGTTATTGATTTATGTAATTACTTCATTGATTTTCATACGCTATTTTGCTGAGCTCGAAATGCAAATAAATACTATATATACATATGTGCTATATATTTTGCACTTTATTTAGATTAGCAAAATTCCTGCTTTGAAGTTCAGTTTGCACCCATTCGTAGCTAAATGGGGCATATTGCTTTTATGCATGGGGATGTAACACAGAGATTTTTTAAAAGCCAATTCAATCGAGCCCTATTCTTACTTTTAATCTATAGGTACTTCAAATAAAAAATCCAATGAAATCTTCCTCTGATATTAGAGCACATCATTCAATCAATAATTAAAGAATATATTTAATAGCATAAAACCTACAAGTCCCATCGGGGTCATCTCTAATGATTTAAATTGACACAAATTGCAGGATATCTCACAGTCGGCAAACACATTGATAACTAGAAGAGTCTGTCGGCTGAATTCTTAATACCTTATTTTGAAGTATTATGTATATGTATATATTAAATATATATGTATGTTTGATATGTATACTCGATATTATCTGCTGATAGCTAATCACTCTTTCGTTGTCTTTCAGCCAACGAGTTTTCGCGCACTAAACTGACCTACGAGACTCGTGCCAACTTTGCCAAGAATCCGCTGAGCAAGCGTTTGTTTACTCTAATGGCAACTAAGAAGACGAATCTGTGCTTGGCCGCCGATCTGAACAAGGCCGATGACATTCTGGAGTTGGCCAACAAGTGCGGACCGTACATTTGTATGCTGAAAACCCATGTGGACATTATCGAAGACTTCAGTGAGGGTTTCATTACAAATCTTAAGACGGTGGCTAAGAGACACAATTTTTTGATTTTGGAGGACCGAAAATTTGCGGACATTGGCAACACGGTCTCTCAGCAGTACGGCAAGGGCATGTATAAGATAGCTAGTTGGGCGAATCTGGTGACAGCGCACACGCTGTCCGGACGCAGTATTGTGCAAGGCCTAAAGGCGGGGCTTGATGACAATGCGAAAAAGCAGCGCGGCGTGTTCCTCTTGGCCGAAATGTCAGCCAAGGGAAATCTGATTGATGAGAAGTACAAGGAGAGCAGCAATAAAATTGCCACCGAGGGCGGAGATGCAGACTTTGTATCTGGCGTTGTCTGCCAATCGTCCACCTGCTTTGGTTTTCCTGGTCTTATACAGCTTACGCCGGGCGTGAAGATTGACGAGGGCGTCGATAATCTGGGCCAACAGTATGAAACACCCGAGCATGTGGTGAAGGAGCGCGGCGCTGACATTGGCATCGTGGGGCGTGGCATACTGCAAGCTGCGAATGTGGAGAAAGCGGCGGCCACCTATCGCGATCGTCTTTGGACAGCCTACTTGGAGCGTGTGGCAAAATAGGCTAATGGCTTTATCAAAAACTAAAATTTTTAACTTACCTCCATTCGACGTAATTGAAAAGTTTTCCATAGTTTTGTACCGCTAGTCGGATATATTTTAAGCGAAGTCACAACACAAAAGAATTTTAAGCATTTAAAAGGCAAATAGTTAAGAGTTTGCACAAAAATCCTTTAATATTAAGTTAAATGTTTGCTAAACGAAAAATGTAACAATAATGAAATATATTTTTTAATTAGTATGAAGCCAAACACTGCAGCACGTAGCTGTAATCGCCAGATATATCATCCTGTAAATGAAACGGAAAAAATTTGGTTTTTGATTTAAAAACTCGAGAATTCTGAATGTCATACTTTGGCTCTTTTTATTTTTTGTTAATAGCGCAAGCACAAACTACTTTTATGTACAAATAAAATGTATACAAAATATATTAAAATGGATAAATAAAAAATTCATAATTTTTTGTTCGCAATTAGCAAAGAAATTTACACGTTAGACGTTATTACAGAGGCTGCCTTTATGAAATATTAATACAAAATAGAAATCATATTTCAATGAGAATTATAAATGGAATTGATACATTTCACAACAATAATAATTTCAGGTTTTTATATTTCTGACTTCGAGAATGCATTTGTTTTGGCATTTCTATTGCACAGTTGTGTAAGTCCCTACAACGCTTATATATTGGGCATACCGCGCAGCTCTTCTACCAAGCGACGAGCGTCACAAGCAAATATCCAATTTCACTGTTTGCATCCTCCTGTGGTTTGTTTGCGTGTTGAGAGATTTGGTAAACACGTCGAAGAGAGAAGCGTAAAAAGAGCAAGAGCGAGAGCGTTAAACGCGTTATTTTGTATACATTTTAATATTGTTGGTTTAGTTGCTTTGTGCTTAATAAAAATAACCGCTGGTCCCGTTTTAAGTGTTATGTTAAAAAGCGCAAAGACTGCGCTGTTAGTAACATGGCAAGCAAATAAGCATTGCAAAAAGCTGCTTCTGTACATGGAAGCAAGAAGAAGCATCTGGCAACGGCGAACACAATTCAAATGTTAACAAAATGGCGCCCAATTAATTTAATTTTCTTTTATTGTTGTCATAAAGAATGTTTTTAACAATATTGTAGCTTAAAAAGTTTTGCAAAATGAGACTCGAGACGTATTGTATAAAAAAAAAAACAAAAACCATAACTTACATATATACATATGTATATAATGCAATAGTTAATAGATAAAACTATGTGCAATGAGTGTGCATAAGACTATGTATGTATAATAATAATTAACATGTGATGCGACTGTAGGCCTCAATAAATGCACTGCGTTGCTTGTAAAAATTTGTTCCAATTTTGCATTAGTCGATTATTCTATAATATAATGTATATGCGTTTCAACTATTATATAGTCAAATTTTGTACAATATGTTTGTGCTTAAGGCATGGAACAGACACGACAGTGACAATATTTTATAATTTCTTATTAATTTTTGTTTTGTTTTGTATTGTTGGTTGGGTCATGTGATTTCTGTTTTATATTTTAGAATCCAACAATAGCCAACAGGGCACGCTTATAATCGCCAGATGTATCGCCCTAAAAATATAGAATATGGCAAGTTTTAATGTTTTATGCAGCACACAAATGAAGTAAGTAGTAAAAAAAAGCGAATCATGAGTGAGCAACAAATGAGTAGGAACAATTTGGAATAGAATGCTCTGTTAATTTATGGCTATGTAAATAACAGAGCGCTTTTGGCTAAAGCTATTTTTTGAAAAGTTAACTGTTAACTGCTTATTCTAGACGATTTGGAACTGGTTGCTAGAGAATATATGTATGTATATATCGTCAAACATCAGATTAAGTATATACGCGCGCTGATTCCAAAATAATATACAATATAGAGTGTACAATCTACAAGTGCATAGTTCGTGCCCAACACCACAAATAGCTTTAACATGCTAACATATGTATTTATGATATATGTATAAATAGTTGAGGAAGGGTATTTACCTTGATCCAGGACTCCAGGCTCTTGCCATACTTGTTTTGGAATGCTTCCTTGATATCTCCCAGGTCGATCTCGGAGCGGCTGACAATGATGCGTATCAGCGTCTTGTCCTTGGTGCCCAAACCGGCCATCGCATCATGCAGACGCTCAGAGAAATAGTCAATCTTGGACTTGCAGCACTTGACTGAGCAATTCAATATATAATATATATTGTATAAGTATATAATGAATCATTATCATAGCTATAGAGATGACTCACCGATGGCCAGGAAACCCTTCTGTACAGAGCCGCTGAACTCACGCTTGATGGCAGTCTCAATGTCGTTTCCGGTGAGATTCTCGTATTCGATTAGGATCTGACGCAACTGCTGATACGGCCGGGTGATCAGAATCGAGTTGAAGGTGGACTCATCTGTGCCCCACTTTCCCTCACCGGCATCATACAACGCCTGGGCATCGGCAATGGCGGCCGCCTGATCAACACCCTGGTTCTCATCCCGATTGCCCTGCACCAGCGAGACGCACAGACGCTTGAAGTGGCCGCTGGTATCGCCCTTCAGATCGGACTCTAGGGACTTGCCGAAGCTCTGCTCGTAGAACTGAGCAATGGTCTTGATGCCATAGTTTGACAGGGTGCACAATATCTCAATGATGGCCTCCTCATCGGTGCCCACGCCGGAAATGGCATCGTGCAGTTCCTGGGCATAGAACTGGGGCAGAGGTGTCATCAGTGCCACAATCACATCCTCGAACTTGCCGCCCAGCTCGGACTTCAGGTCCGAAATCAAGTCCTTGCCATAGGCAGTCTTAAAGGCCTCGGCGATCTCCAGACGCTGGACGATGCCGCGACGGGCGAGAATCTCAATGATGGCCTTCTCATCGGTGCCGAAGCCCTTCATTGCCTTGCGCAGAATGGCGGCATCCTCGACGGGATCGAAGGGATCAGCGGGGTAAACGGTGGGTGTGCACTGCGAATAGAGGAATGAGTAAACGTGGCATATAAATAAATCTTCTGGCTAATGCAATGCATACGTAATCGATCCACAAATATTCATGAATAATCGTGCATTTAAATGCGGTTGCAGCACGTACTCTACAAACAATTGACTCAACAAAGTTTCCTTATAAATGTAATTCGAGGTTTACGCACTTGATGATTGTGCCCACGTATTCAAATCCAGAAATATTGTAAAAATGTTACTCATATGCAAGGGTTGACTACAGTGTTAACAAATATATTTATTACCTTTCTATGATTCAATAGGTTCTTAAGATTTTTCAGATCTATATATTTCTTATCTGCTCAAAATATTCATAGGTATATACTACGACATTTGCCACTCGAAACAAATCGATTAAATGTAATACAATTAATTAGCAATAATTGCGTCTATTCGTCAGTCTACGTCTAGCGATCTTCAAAACTGATGTATTATATGTTGACACTCACCTTGAATGGATAGTACTCAGCGGAGCTCATGATTGCTTCTTTTTAAGTTTGTTTTGGTATTTGTTTAAGACCTGTAAATGCAAAGCAGACAAGGAAAAACATAATTTATAATGATCTAATGATTAAAGTCGAGGCGGGTTGATTACAAAGGGAGGCCTTTGGCAATTGTTTTGCAACAAGGCCACGCTATACATAAAATAGCTATGGGAATGTTCAGAAACCTGCTGCCCGAATGACATCACCAAATATGCCGTGCTTCATGTTTGCGGCTATTACGCATACGCCTCGCAGTAGTTGTGGCGCCACAAAAAAAAAAAAATCGACATGCTTTTGCTTTCCTATGCAGGTTATTTTTTATAGAGGTCAACGAACAAAGTTAGAGAGAAAGTTGTAATACAAAAAAAAGGCCTGGTCTAGCGTTAGTTGATAACTTTAACATTTGAGGGTGCAGCTAACGTTGCGTATGTGTAAAAGTACGGCTTTTATGGATACAGAACCAACTGGGAGTTTGGATGAGCTCATTCTTGGTATGCTATAAAACATGCTGAAAATATTCCATATTCTATTTTCTGCTTGCCGATTTTCATCACAATAAAAAACGTTTGTCGTTCTAAATTTGAACATAGAAAGTAGCTGCATTCTATATGACCAAGTAATTGTTATGATTACACATAAACAAATCGCAGCAGCAAACAAAATCGACAGCCCAAGCTCCAAGCGTGGAAAATCAACAAAACCAAAAGACAGAAAAAAAATGACGTGGCAGTGTTCCAAAACAACTACGCCTCTTCCCAGCTACAAATAAAGAACAAAATATTTTGTCTGCTTCCAAATGTTGGCGCTGGAACCGGTTCAAATTTAGTTTTACATGCAGACACGCACTCACACAGTCACACAGAGGCGCACGGCACATAGAAACATTTGTTTGTCTATTTCTCTCTTGAGCTATGTATAAATTAGCATGCTATTGTGGAGCACGCAGCAAAAACAAAAAAGTATTGAAATAGTTGGGAAAGTTGTTTGGAATGCGTAATAACAACGCTGATGTCTCATTCTAGGCATTTTCACAAATATGTAAGTGTGTTAGCAGTATGGATTGAATTCTAATAATATAGTTATTTATAGTCGTACATTCATATGATCACAGCTCATCTAATTGAGACTGCGCTCATGAATCATAATGTGCATAGGCTGATTTCCAAGCGCGCTTTAGTGTGACGTCAAACGTTGTGGGCGAAGTGCTCCGCAGCGCATAAGACTGGAACTGGATGTTCTGGAAAGTTGTTTACGAACCGCAATGTTTAGAGTTTTTTTTTAATGTGGTAGTTAAAAGCTCGTGACCTGGTAGAAAATGTGTGAATAAATTTAGCTTATAAAATGGCATTGTGACTGACTGACTGTACCTTTGAAGTAATTATTATTATTTTTTTGCTGTTTTAATTTGTTACATTTTTCTACTAGCAATTTTGCTTTAAACCTTGATGACGCACCCTATAAATGCATGCAATTATTTCAAACATGTTTGTTTTGTACAGAATGCTTTTGCAAAGGTTTTACTGTGGTCAACGCAGCCTCGCTAAAAGCAATTGACTTGATTGCCACTAAAGATAACAGACAAAAGATGGAAGCTCTAAGTAGATAAATTCAATTATAATTTGCTAGTGAAACGTCTATCAAGTGCACATACATATACGTATATACATACATACATATGTACATATATCTACTGAAGGAAACGTTGGTAGGAAAAGTCACACGCGTCTGCGAATGAGAAGACATAAGCTACCAACAGAGAGAGAGACAGAAAGAGCGAACGAGAGCTGGTGCTAAGAGAACTGCAAAGCGCTAAAGTTCGGGCAGCTTCAATTGAACATTTGATGATGTCATCTTTTTTTATCCAAATCAATGTACCAAAATTTATATGTACACATACACACACATAAATACGTTGTAAAAATATATTGCTATGTTTATTTACGTTTGTATGTTTATATGTATTATAGAAAATAATACAAATATTTAATATATGGCATATGTATGTAGTCAATACATATTTAAAAAACTTCTTATCTGCCGCGCCCAAAAATTATTATAATGTTAAAAAACATTTTGCACTCTTAATTACTTTTCACTTGAATTTTTTATTCACTTTAACCTTAGCAAATACGACAGTGTATAAATATGTACATGCATGCATATATATTTAAATACATATGTATGTATGAAAAGACACAGTGAAAATAAACAAAATATTAACTAAAGAAGAATGCAAAAAATTTACCAAGTGATATTCTCTAACGTACAAAGTGTGGTCCGACAAACGCTGCGAACTCTTTGCGATGTGAAATAAATACTGAGCTCGCTGCTCGGTGCTCAGCTGTTTTTATATGCGTTTCAATAGCCGGTGAATCGGATCTGAGAGTAATTGCAAAGAGCGCACGGTGTTGTTGGCGTGTAGGTGTTGGCAGGGCCGCACAGATAATCGTTTACTAAATTAAGTTGTGTTTCTCAATGCAAAATAAGCAAAAAATTTTTAAAGATTTTATTTTTCTTTTATATATAAAGTATAATAATAATTAAAAGTGAATAAATAGGTTTTTTGTTTGTTTAAGGAGCCCTGGTAATCTCGCAGTAAAAGTTTAAGAGAGTTAAAAAGGAAAGAGCGAATCGCAGACCCATAATTACGTCATGATATAATAAAAAGTTCTCTTAATTATACATATATATGTATGTTTACAGATGTATGACTTATTTTGTTAGAAGCTCGCCCGCTCTTGCTATTTTAGATCTCAGCTTCCGACTCATACAAATGTACATATGTATATCCAGATATATTAATATAAATGTATATAGCAAATAACAATTACGTCAAACAGCAAAGCGTGATTCATAAGAGTGGAAGCTGACAGTAGCTGATAATGATCTTATCAGTTAAGATAAAGAGTATGTTTTAAAAATGTGATATTCTTATCAGTTAAAGATGAAAACTATGTTTTAAAAATGTGTTGTGTACTGCAAAACGAATATTGTTAGAATATTTTATTCTTGCTCATTTAAACCGTTACCGCGCAATTTGTATGATATCGCTGTTCAACACTGATTTTGCGATGGGCGATGTAGTTTACATGAGCGAAAAGGAATCGATTTCTGAAGTTCGATTAGTCAGCCGGTTCATTAACAATAGCTCTTTCGTTTTGTGCATTGCATTTAAATTAATTGTTTAAAGTTTTAGTTTTTTCAATTTAGAATTGTTTAAAAATTAGCTACCTGCTGTATAACTCTTTTGATATATTTAACACATGTAAGTTACATGTAGAAAGTCTGCCATTCACATTCCACAGAACCAGCCCCTCCCTACACTATAATTATTGTTCGAAGAAAAAACCCGTCATTGTTTTTATCTTTGGTGCCAACGTCGAATGTAGATAAGAAGCAGCCAGTATGTGGAAAGCAACTGCCGGCCATCAAATACAGGCAACTAGTACCGCCGAAGACGATGACTGGGAAACGGATCCTGATTTTGTCAACGATGTCAGCGAGCAAGAGCAGAGATGGGGCTCCAAAACAATTGATGGTAGCGGACGCGACGGAGGCGGCGCCATTGAGTGAGTCATTTATATTTAGGTCGCTACACCATTAAAAAATCTTGATATTAACATTAAAACGAAACTCAACAGCATGAACAAGCTGCGCGAGGAGACGGAGAAGTCGGATTTGAACAAGAAGAAACAATTGCTAAAGGATCAAAATGCTGGCTATGGATACGGTGGTAAATTTGGCGTTGAGAAGGATCGCATGGACAAGTCGGCGGTAGGCCATGATTATCAGGGCAAAGTAGACAAGCACGCGTCGCAGGTGGATTACAGCGAAGGCTTCGGTGGTAAATACGGCGTGCAAACGAATCGCGTGGACAAATCTGCCGTGGGTTGGGATCATATCGAAAAAGTGGAAAAACACGAATCCCAAAAGGGTACATTCTTAGAACTAACTATATGCCATATATTATAACTATGAACTTTTTGCAGATTACTCTAAGGGCTTTGGAGGAAAGTTTGGCGTGCAGGAGGATCGTAAGGATAAATCGGCATTGGGCTGGGATCATATCGAAAAGGTGGAGAAGCATGAGTCGCAGAAGGGTAAGTTTATGTCAATTTATGTTAGAACTTACTGACTTTGATCCATTTTAGACTACTCTAAGGGCTTTGGTGGCAAATTCGGTGTACAGGAGGATCGTAAGGACAAGTCTGCCGTCGGTTGGGATCATATTGAGGCCCCACAAAAGCATGGAAGCCAAGTGGATCATAAGGTCAAGCCCATTATTGAGGGCGCGAAACCCTCAAACTTACGTGCCAAATTCGAAAACTTGGCCAAAAACTCTGAGGAGGAGTCACGAAAACGTGCCGAGGAGCAGAAGCGTTTGCGTGAAGCTAAGGACAAACGAGATCGCGAGGAGGCAGCTAAGCGAACGGTTGTGGAGAACACGCCACTACCATCTGCCGAGGAGGCACGTGCTCCGCCGGTCAAGGGCAGTCGCACAGCTATACAGACGGGACGTTCCGGAGGTATTGGCAATGCCATCAGCGCATTCAATCAAATGCAGTCGCCGGTAGCTGATACGCCGCCGGCGCGAAAAGAACCAATTATCATACCTAAGGAGCCTGCGGCCGTGGAGGAAGCAAAGCAGTCGGCAGCTCCGATAGCTGCTGTTGTTAAAGAGGTTCCGGCTGCAGCCGAGCCGAAAGATTCGGCACCACCACCAGATGTAGTGCCTCAAATTGAGATAGAGACTGTAGCCACGCCACCATCAAGCGAGCCCCAATCGCCAGCTCACGTCGCAGCTGTGGAGCAGACACCCGAGCCCCACTCGCAGCCGCCAGTACAGGTGCAATCCCAGCCAGAGCCGCAAGCGGAGCTGGAGCAGGAGCCGCTTTATCAAAACCAGGCAGAACTGAAATCTGTGTCCCCATTGCCAGCTGCTCAATCGCCAATACCAGCAGCAGCCTCAGCAGCTGCAGCTAATGGCACTTCGGAGGAGGCCATCTATGCAAACTCTGATAACTTGGCGGACTATTTGGAGGACACTGGCATACATGCAATTGCATTATATGATTATCAGGCAGCTGATGATGACGAGATATCCTTCGATCCCGACGATGTGGTTACGCACATTGAGAAGATCGATGATGGCTGGTGGCGTGGCCTATGCAAGAACCGTTATGGCCTCTTTCCTGCCAACTATGTGCAAGTTATTAATCCAAGCTCCTAATCAGCAAATACTTCCATATGAAATTATTTTCAAGAACAAAATCAAATTATACAATAACTATTTAATGCAGCGAAGAAACCAGGTTGAATCTAAATACTGAGAGTCATCATTTACAATATAAAAGCTGATGTTTCCACATGCAACTTAGAGAGGTTGATTGAATTAACTAATTATTGTAACTTTTCGGGTTTCTGCAACGCTCTCTCATGTCACATGCAATATAAATTCCATTATATATATAAATATATATATATATTTATACATATATTTTTATCATCATTCATTATCGATTTTTAAAAATGTTTAACATGTTTATATACATTCTTCTGTATTTTTGTGCGTATTTTTGAAAAAATATGCTAAAACCATAATTATTTATAGTCTTTTTATACTACTAGCAAAAACAGTTTTTTTAATTTGTTCAAATTTTGAAATAAATGTAATTGTGTGTTTTGGAATGTGTCTGAAATGTTTAAGTAAATGTGTCAAAAGTATGCTCACTTGTATAAAGTTTATAAATGTTTTCATTAAGAATGTTAGACAAGAAAAAGTCTGTTTTATTGATAAAAAAGCATAATAAAGTTTATTAGTAACTATAAAAAAAATATAAATGATTTCAAACTTGTTTAATTAATAGCAGACTTTTAAATGCGTATCACATATTTATTTATTTCAAAGCTATCACAAAGTAGGACTTTATTTAATATGATATGGGAGTCAACACTTTGTTCAGTTTTCCGCATATACTGTATATATGTATGTATGTATTTATATGTATATACATATTTCATTCATTTGTATAGCGGCATGATTTGACTTTCATCAGTTGTGCAGAGAGTGAATCATACATATCTGGACAAAGAAGCAAGTGACTGAATTAAATGGGATTCTTTTACATTCTACAAACATATAGACTATATGCATACATATATTTATATAGCAGGTATATCTCTGACATATTCACGATTATATATAATTGAAATTGAGCTTTGATATACTAAATTATTATTGGTATTGATATGGATCTGATCAAACTGTCAGTGTAAATAATTGTTGCCTAGTAGATGTTGAGGGGGGATTAGATAACAAGTGCGTGTATCAAACAACGTTCCTATTATCAATATGAATTGTCTGTCAAAACGATTCCAGGCAGCTCAGATATAATTTACATACATATGCACGTACACTTAAATATAGACTTGGAGAGAGACAAGCAACATGTATTGTTAAGCCCGCTTAGTGTTCCAGCAAGTATTCCGTTACAAATATACCGCTATCAGTAAACACTTCCAAGCAATCACACGATTCGCATAGGATCTTGTAAAACATTGTAAATATACATAGATAAGTACAATGTACACATGTAATGCCAAATGCAGATTGTCTGTGTGAGTCCTTCCCAGAGAAGCGTTAAGAAAGTAACGAATCTGAAATCCCCTATCGGACGCGATGGACTTGCTCTCTCACACATACATATGAACGTACGTAATCAGTCTCTTTGGCGAAATTGCGCTCAGTAACTATGTATGCATACTTTTTACATATGCATATATATAAAGAGGCAATGGTTTACTTCGGCAGTCAGTCAATCGACGTCAAGCGACGACGACGGAGCTCACGGCGGTCAATACACGCAGCTGCTCACTTGGACTACAAAAATCGATGTATCGATATATTTATTGATAGCATATATCGCTGGTTGAGTCGATTTTGTTCTACGTGTGAACAGCTGATATTTTTAGTGTAAATAGCCTAACCGTAAGTGCGAATGAAAAAGAAAGCAGTTGGGTGCGTGAAAGAAGAATCAACAATGGCAATATTGCTCAACAGAAATTAAAAGAAAACAAAAATAATATATCAGAAATATAATAAAAACAAACAATGAAACGCGTTGTGTATGTTGCGCGTACGATTGATTGAATATAACTCTCGCGAAATTAACAATTGTCGAGTGGCAGACGCTACTCAAGTTTTGACGCTGGCAAATCGTTCCACAAGCTGAGCTGAACAGCAAATGGTCAACGTCACCGAACTTGTAATTGGTTCCAACACACAAAGAGAATAACGTACAATCGTCTATTATTGCTGAGAATTAAACTGCTATTTTGTTTACTTTGCGATTCTGTGTTAAATTAGCAACTGCATTTATTTACTATTACAAATAGTCTAAAACGACGCTGTAAAGTTGTCAATAGTACAATTTTTTCTGCCGCCTACCAATCATCGAACTGTCGCAAGTATGTGTTGCTTAAGTACATTGTTTCCTAATTATTTTTTGTGTTTCGCACATCATGTTAGAGATAATTTAAGAATCTCCCGTTTGCTACTTGTTACTTGTTTATATCTAATGACTTTTGTGATTGTTTTTATTTTGTGTTTTATTTATTTATTTAATTTTGTTACTTATACATTGTGGTTTGATGTGCCTCACTTCAAAAAGTACTTGAAAAAAAAAAAAGAACAGCCATACACCGGCTAACTAGTATTCAGAAGAAAAAAAAACAGATATTACACGGAGTGAAGAGAGTGGAAGTTCAATTAGGACAGAGCTCTAGCTTCAATACCCGTGCAATAGTTATTTTCACCCACACAGTGTAGTCTCAAGTAAAGAAAGGCTTAGCTTTTTTTGAGTGATGGCATCTCGTAGAGGGTATTTAAGGTGCGTTAACTGATATCGTATTCAGTCTGTGTTGTGGCTGCGTAGCAGGTACCAGGCCCTCGGCTGTTTGGAGCTGTTTAATAATTTATTATGTTGATAAGTATTGCTCTAATCTGGAATATCATACCTTAACAATAGGACAAATTCCCAAGTGTATAAAATGAACGCAATCATTATAGTATTCGAATGCATATGTGAATTTAAAAATGATTTAATTCAGCTATTTAACTGCTATTGTTCTCAGGTGCAGGAAATTGTCAATCAATAATTAAATATGACTACAAAAAAAATAAAAAAAAAATTAAATAAATAACAATTTAATTTGCGTGCAGGTTTTATTGCTAATAATTCTCTTACTTTTAGATTAATATTGTTTATTTAATTGCAGTTCATACATACACATACTTATACATAAAATATATAAACACCAAAGTAATAATTTAGCAAACACAAAAAATGGTAACAAAAATATATACATTCTTATATAAAATATACAAAAATAGAAATTATGGTATTATACCTAAACATGTTGCAATACTATAGTAAAAGAGTATGTGTGATAATATTTATGTCACAAATTGTTTGTAGCTTGTTAGTTAATTTACAAGTAGCGATTATGCATAGGTTCAAGTTTGTTGATACACTTATCGGTATTTATGAACCGAAGTTGATATGATAACTCGCATTCATATCAGTTTCGCCAACTGTATAAACAATGTTGTATATAGACGGAGAAAACATATGTGTTCCACTAAACTTAACGGATAGAATTGTCACAATTCACCATAAAATGAAAATCTTTTACTCAATTGAGTGAACAGCCGAGGTCTTTAATTGGCGCCAAACATAATTAGACAATTCAACGATTCGATGAAGCGATGTGGAAGGCAGCAGCAGCCGTAACAGCGGCGCAACGTTTTGTCAAGGTGAACCAGACAACACCTCGTGTTTCCAACTAGCTCCATAGCTGCCCGCAGCACCTATGTACATATTGATATACATTTATACATATATACACATATGTTCAAGATGTGCTGAGCTCGGCTATAAAATGTCTGTGCGTTTGCTTTAAAGCCGCAAAAATCAGCGATAAAACGTATGCACAAACCTTTTAAGTTGAAAAAAAAAAAAACAACAACAACAACAACGATGTTTAAAGAGTATGTAACATATATGTTTTTTTAGCAGGTTATTCACCTGTGCAACCTGTGCAACAGGTAACTATAGTCGTGTTGGTATGTTTTCCTTTTGTTGTTGTTGATATAAAGATTTTTCGTGTTATCGGCGAACACAGCTGGAATAATGGCCAAAAAGACCCTAAAACAGAGTTTCGCGAATTTCTTTTATTTCTTTATTCTCTTATTCGTATACAATTTCGTTATTAATTCTAGCAATAAAAACAATTCTCGAATTTATTTACTGATTGTGCTTGAGTGTTTACTCAAAATTCTTATCAATCAACATTTAAAAACTTCAATAATCTAATTGAGGCGGAACAGACGCAAATTACTTTTAGTTTCCTTATGTCTACGTACAGTGAAGCTTTGCTACAGTGAAAGATCATTCCATGCACATAAAGCTATGTAATGTAGATGAATTCATTTAATATAGTCTTATCTATATCAGTTAGTCCACCGTCTGATTCGTATGGTATATCTTAGCAATCAACAGAAATATATTTAATGTAAGTTTTTTTGGCGTTCCCAGATAGAACAGAGGGTATTGCCAAGTCGACGCTGTTCAGCAGATCCAACTTTTTTTTTCTTTGGTCATTACTTTTTTCCGCCATCTCATTCTATTTGTGTCGCATATGTTTCAAATGCAGATAATGACAAAATTATGGCATTCGTTAATTTTCTATTTGTTGTTCAGATTTTGATAATATAATGGCGAATTACAGAGGGCAATTGCACAATAAAATTAGTATGTGCGAATTATATGAAAGCAATGTTAATTTCAGACAACTCTTTTATTTACTTATGCTAGAAAAAAACTTGTATACAAATATTATCTATTTGAGTACTCAAATTGCAAAGCAATCTGCGAAGCGTCACGTGCTGAAATATAAACAAATACACAAGACTATAATTTATCTGGACGCATTTTGTAATTTTCTGCTTGATCAGGGCCACTAATTGAACTTGTCACGCACAAGTGTTAAATAAATTAAATACATACAGTAAATAATCAATTTAAATATTTTATGCTTTCTCAATACTGTTGCAGCATGTCTTCAAACGAGGGCTATCACAATAAAATAGAGCCAGGCGGTGGGTCCGCTGGTGATGAACAGTCCACAAGTTCGGGTGCGCGTGGCAGCCATGGAAGCGCTGCAAGTGCCGCAGCGGCAAACAGTACGCAGCTGCATCAGCAGATACTGAATGAGAATACATATCTGAAGGCCTCGAAGCAGGCCTACTTCAGCGATGAAAAGGTGCTCATACCCGACGATGATCGCACAAATGTGAGTAAAAAGAAAGAATTTTCTTTTAAGTACACTGTATCCAAATGTAATATTTCGTAACCGATAAATATCGAATATCTGTATATCGATTTTGTAAGAGATAAAGTTAAATTTTATAGTATATATTTTTTATAGACGATGTATAGTGTTCGGTTATAGGGTATGTTTTAGTCGAACTATTATTATGGTGATATTAATATGTTTTATTTGCACACACAGATCGGTTTCAGTTTTCGCAAGCTGTGGGCCTTCACCGGTCCCGGTTTTCTCATGTCCATTGCGTATCTAGATCCGGGCAATATTGAATCTGATTTACAATCGGGCGCCGCAGCCAAATATAAAATACTCTGGGTGTTATTATGGGCCACAGTTCTGGGTCTGCTCATGCAACGCTTGGCCGCAAGGTAAGGGTGTTGGATAATTTTCATTATATATTAGGTATATAAAATATATAATTCTTGTACGTTACTAGGCTGGGCGTTGTCACTGGTCTGCATTTGGCGGAGATGTGCTACAGACAATACAAACGCTTACCACGTTGGATACTCTGGATAATGATAGAGATTGCCATTATTGGCTCGGACATGCAAGAGGTCATAGGCACAGCCATTGCCATATATTTGCTGTCCAATAAAGTGTACGTTTATCTAGACTTTATCAAATGACGAATGATATATCGATTTTGTAATTTCAATTGTAGTGTACCTTTATGGGGTGGCGTACTCATCACCATTGTCGACACATTTACGTTCCTATTTCTGGATAAGTACGGTTTGCGTAAACTGGAGTTCCTATTTGGTTTCTTGATCACTGTCATGGCCATCACATTTGGCTATGAGGTAAGCAGTACTCCTACAAAACATACATAAATACATAATTCAAGTTTCCAAAATGATTCAATCTGAAAAAGTTCCCCCACTGCAGTAACTCCCAAATTAGTTAACTGTCAGGCATGCAAATAAGTACGAATTGTAGGTATAGAAAACGCTCGAGTCGTAAATAACAAAAGCAGTTTATTTTACCCATATTCTACAAATGTATTTTAATGATTTTTATTTACTTTATTTATTTTTGTTTTCTATTTCTATGTCGCAAATTGCAACCGTCAATTGTCAGGCACGTCTGTCAGGGGCGTACTTTACGTTCATATCTTTCAATTACGGCCGTTGAGGTCTTCCATTCTCTTTTCAATTCCTGTTTTAGCATATTTGCCATTTCGTTCCGTTGCTTGATAATGTGTGAACATTTTTTTTTTATATCTGTTCAGAGACTATCTCTGCTTGTACTGAATGCAGTGTTTTATTTTATGTCTTGCCTTTTAATGATTAGATAAATGGTTTAAGAGAACTACTAGACTTTTTAAGCTACTACTAAATATTTTCTTATAGCTGTGTATGAAAATGACGGAAATAATAAGTTGGGGATTATACCCTCGGAGCTTATCTGAAAGTCATTTGCAAAAAGCATTTACCAGGGGATTTCCATTTCTGTTCAGAGATTTGCATTTGTTTTATTTGACTCTTGGCATTTTTGTTATATATTAGTTTGATGATTAATAACGTTGCATTTCAATTTTTTACACTTGTGCTCATTTTTATTTTCATTTGAAAGTATATTTATCATACTATATTAGATTCCCAACCCCGTCGTAAATTTGATTTATAAGCACTGACTGCTCATTATTTTAATCGATTCAGTTTGGTTTTAGTAATATAGTCTAGCAATATCTTCTCGGGTTCAAGGCGCTCCATTCTCTTTCCTTATTGAACTTTTAACACTCTGTTATGGGACTTGTATTTTTTTTATTATTGATTGCCAAATATATTTTTGTTTATACTTGTAGTACATTGTGTCAGCACCCAATCAGGGCGCTGTGTTGGAGGGAATGTTCGTGCCGTGGTGTTCTGATTGCAACTCGGATGTGTTGCTACAGGCAGTGGGCGTGGTTGGTGCCGTTATTATGCCGCACAATCTCTATCTGCACTCTGCGTTGGTCAAGGTAGAGTTGGGTTAAAAGCCAAATGAATCCCTAAATAATATCACAACTACAATTGAATTACAGTCACGTGACATTGATCGCCGCCAGCCAAAGAAAGTGAGCGAAGCAAATTTCTATTTCTTTATTGAGGCCTCCATAGCGCTGTTCGTGTCCTTTATCATTAATCTCTTTGTTGTCGCCGTCTTTGCGCACGGCATGTATGGCAAGACCAATCGGGATGTGGTAAGTGACTTATTGAATACCAATATCTAAGCTGTTGCTAACTCTCATCTCTTTTTAGCTGGACGTGTGCACCAACAAATCGATGTATGAGGATGCCAAGCTATCGTTCACGGACAACCACAATCTCACGGACATCATCAATGCCGATTTGTACAAAGGCGGTCTGTTTCTGGGCTGCACATTTGGGGCCGCCGCAATGTACATATGGGGCGTGGGTATTTTGGCTGCTGGCCAGAGCTCCACCATGACAGGCACATATGCCGGCCAGTTCTCCATGGAGGGCTTCCTCAATCTGCAGTGGCCCCGCTGGTGTCGCGTGCTGGTCACGCGCTGCATTGCCATTATACCCACCTTCTGCCTGGCCATGTTCAGCAAAATGGAAGATCTGACCAATATGAATGATATACTTAATGCGGTGATGTCGCTTCAATTGCCATTTGCAGCGATTCCCACCATCGCGTTTACATCTTGTGCAGCCATCATGGGTGAATTTGTGAATGGAATGTAAGTGACGAAATGAGAATTATGAACTAGTAAGCGATATTTGAAAGATAATGAAAACTGTTTTCTTGCTCTGCAGCGGCAACAAAATCGTTGCCATTTTATTAACCATTGTGGTTATTGGAGTCAATCTTTACTTTGTTGTGGTGCAAGTGGAATCGCTTGAAATTGTAGGCGGCACACTGGCAGTAGTCTGTGAGTAGCCCAAATATTAACTATTCGGAATTGACTTGATTAATTAACTTTGCTCTCTTTTCTTTTGTAGGCATATTTGCTATTCTATACATAGTTTTTGTTATATACCTTGTGATACATATGGCCGCGTGCATGGGCAACAAGTGGCTGATGAACAGTCGGGTAAGTTACTGAAAAAATCAGCAATACCTTATCAATAGTCGTGACAAAAAGCATTAACTGTTTAGCCAGTCAGTCATAAATTGTAGTTATCATGTTGAATTTTATCAATTTACGTGACTATTGGTAACCACCTAATAGAGCTTTAGATGTCATATGCTGAAGACAGCTTCATCTAACCTGATGTTTTTCCTTTCACAGTGGGTGCAGCGTTGGGTGTTACCAAGCCAGAATAGTTTTTCGATAAAGAACGCCAACTCTACGTATGCCAGGTATGTTCGCACATAATATCTCACTAATTGCTCAAATACATACGCCTACACATTCACTGCCTACGCCTCCATATGGGTAACTAATCTACAAATTTATCTATGGTCTGTACTATCCTAATATCAATTGGTATTTTATACTTTCCCAGCACTCTAAAAGCTGTCAACTGATTTCTTTTGATAATTCTTTTGGTCCATTCTGTTTTCTTTTTTCTTTCTGTTTCTTCTGTATCTTCTGTTTCTCTCTTCGTAATACTTGTAACTATTGACTAACACTTAATTGAAAACATATGCCTATGCTCTTATTCTTTTAATTATTCGCAGTGATGTTGCCTTAGTTGTAGGCGATAAAACTAACCCTACTGACAAACCTCTCGATACAGTTTCGGAAAAAGTAGCTCAATAATGCATTATGCATTCTATTGGCTATGGTTCAGTAAATAACTTTAGGATGTCCTCCACTTTTGTGATATTAACACTAACATCACACGCTTTACAGCACTAACAATTCACCAACAAGAATTTAAAATGCACTGTTCAGCTGTTTGACACTAGCCAATCGTTTCATATCTTAAATACAATTTTATTTATAAGTTCTGGTAAGTCTAAAGTTGTTGATAATGTGCCCACACAACGCTCGCACAATCGGTATTATCAGGGCTAATAATATAAGCTAGCGCGCTTAGTTTGAACAAATAAAGTATGCATTTAATAGCAATTTATGGGAAAAAGTATTTATCGCCTTTTGATTTATGTGTATATCCTAGACATAAGCTATTTTTTAAGTTGGAATGGAACGAAGAGCAGCAAAGCCTGGACTAACCGTACATTGATTTAAAATTCATAATTGACATTTTGGTATAACTCTCATCCCTTGCATATATCGAGAGGGCGTGGCTAACTTAACACAATAAAGCCTCGAGCATCGAAACTTGTGTTGCTAATATTATTTACCCGTTATTTATGTATCATAAAATTCTCTTTTATTATATGTGTGTGCGTGACTACCACCATTTGTTTTCCAACACCGTTCTCTGTGTCTTATACTAAATATAAATACACACACATGCACATGCCCTACTACTCTTATACCGCTCGCCACTCGACACTCTGCAAAAAATGTACGAAAATAAAAATAAACTATTGGATTGACTGATCTATAAATTTTGTTGAAAATCGGCAAATGATTTTCTTGGCATTGGTACAAAATTGTTCTAAAAAGTTTGCGATTGGCAAGCACAAAATAATAATAAACAAGCCAAAAAACTGCAAAATGTGCAAATAAAGTAAGAGAACATTGTTTGGGACCACATTAACATGGCAACCAATATTAATTAGAATTTCGACATTTTGACGCATATTAAAAAAAAGAAAACAAACAGAAAAAAACGAAAAACAATTTTTTTTTAAACCGAAAATTCAATGCGGTTTTCAATTGTTTATTTAAATCTGGAAATTCGCTGCTGTACGTGCCGAATCTGTTAATCCATTTATACTAATGGGTGCCTCATCGAACCAACAAAAACAACCGAACGCAACACAACCATATGTGGACGGCATCCTCTATGCAGCGAGCTGACGCTGAACGATAATGGAATCTCCATAAACTCTTTCCATAATTTGCACAGAAATGTCGCCTCTTAGTTTTTTATGGCTATTAAAGTTTTAATTTTGTATAATAAAGATATTATTTCGTTTATAATGTTCGCCTATGTATATCAAAGTGATGTTAATTATAATTGAATAATTATTGGTAGTTCTGTAGACGTAATTGTTTATAAGAAATCAAATAACGTAGCTTTATTTTGTAAATAGCCTTATTTGTAAATAGCTAAGAAATAATAAAAATGATCTTAAAACCTTTTGACCCTGGCTCGCTCCCACAATAAAGTTATCTCTGCTGGGATATATGCATGGTTCCTTCTGAGTTGTATTTTTATTTGAAAACCTCAAGTCTCTTAACTCTTAATAATTCTGTCTCTATATCTCGTATGTAGCTCCCTTCTTATATGTGATGTTGTATTCCTAAAGTCTTACTAACAAATTGTTGTAGATAGCAATAGTAAAACATTGTTTGTGTAAATAGCATCTGGCTCTGTTTGAATGTGGACTTATGTAGTTTCTAATTGACTTTGCTGTTCTTTAAAGGGTTCGAATCGGATCAGTGTCAGCACAAGCTGTGCCCCTTCCCATAGGTCTCAAGTGTCTCTTAATCATTTAGACATGTATATATATATATACACACACACACACACACAAGCACAGCTACAGTTATGTAGTCATTCATCCAAACTCATAATATCTTCCATTTGCAGAATTTCGACCAATCCCGACACAGATGCTGATATCATGGACGGTGAGGATGCGTAGCCATTACTGTTCTGCACTGATTCCGATGGCAGCGAGGAGGTTTGTTTTAGCAGCAATAACAATGAGCTGAATTGCCACAGCAGCAATGTGGATAATGCCAGTAATGGTCATGTAGTCATTAGCTAGCATTCGGCTCAGGTCTGCCCCGATAATAACTATAAACCATCCCGTCGCAAACAGCGCAGCCTATCCACAGACCCTATCCCAGCACCTAGTTCATCATATCAGAAATCGGGTCACGCTCTGCGCGCTGTTCGCTTGAAAGCCGAAATCTTGGGAATTAGTGTAATACGATTTCATAGCATAATTATTTCAATATGATGTACGCAGTATACCAAAAAATCCAATGCAGATTTTCTTAGCAAACCCACATACATACATAAACACATAACTGTAAAATGCCTCGATAAAAGATAAACGTGTGGCATTCAAAGTAGACTTAAGTTCCCTGTACGGTAATTGATAATAATTATTATATAATATGAACACACACACACACACACACATACATACATACATACACATTTATATATAAATTTTAAACTATATTTATATATTACTTATAAGGCTGTGAACTGAGAAACCGTAAACAATTTTAAACAATATATATGTTAATATTAACGGGTCCTTTCCGAAATTATTTCCTAAATTTTTTCAAAAAATATTTCTTGTCGTGTGCTTTTATTGAACAACTATTTGTAATTTATGATCTAGTTATTTATTAAATCGCAATTTAATATATGTCATCATTGGGTAGGACACTACTTCAAAATTTGTCAATACCGTTTTAAGGCACGTTTCATATTTGCCATCAAATTGTTTTCTATTGTTGTGTAAATCACTTAAAATAAAAATATTATTATTTTATTTATAAGATTAAATATAAAATGATATTTTTGTCTTAAACAGGAAAGTCCAGCAAAATGGAAATATACCTAAACAACATTATTTTCTAGGGCGGTCTGATGGTCATGGAGTTAATGATCATGATAACGATAATGTTGCATGCATCTTCTTCGTAAATTGATACAATATGGTTATGTATGTGTGTATATATAATTTTGATAAAGTTATAATGATAAATAAGATATATATAAGGCTACATGCACCAGTTTTGTATATTCTGGGATATATGTATATATCCATTTATTTCGTTTTAGACGCATCACTGTCTTGTCATCAAGTCTTAATTAGATGTAATTGACATTTAAATGGATGAAATGCAAACGGAAGCTAAATGATATACCTTTGTAGCTAATGACCAACTTGATAGTCAAATATTAATTACGGTGTAGGTGACAGACAGAATAATAAATAACTTCATTATAGCTTACGACATACGTACAAGTGGGGTAATTCGCTATAGAGGCGTTGTCTATTATTTGATCGGAAAGGCGTAAAACGATTTATGACACAAGACAAGCTCTTGAATACATAAATAATATTGATAATAGGGAATAATAGTTGCTCTAGATGCGCACAAATTAAGTATTATTATCTATTACGATCTCCTAGCATTTCGATCAGCTGTATAAGCTAACCAGAAGCTGTTCAGTAGCAAAGCTCACCGACCTGCTCTAGACAAAATATAAACAGACTCTAGTAGTAGGTACTAGAGCCGGTTCAATTACTTTCATGTGGTGAGTTACACAGAACAGGTTATGTTAATCGATATATACTTCTATTAGACTAAAAATTAAAAAATAACTTACTGTGATTTACTTAAGCGCCGACTGTCCCGAACGATGCAAGTATTTGAATTTGTCTAAGATGCGGAAACTTTTGATAGTATTGATCGGGCTGCAGCTGACTCTTAGCTCGGAGTGCTCAATATTACGTGCGTAGCTAAAAAGTATAATTGAATTACCTGTTTGACTGAGGTGTAGAATGGTGAACTGTATTTCTAACTCTTAGCTCAGCATATCAAGAAGTGCCGCTTTGGAAATACCACCTGTATTCGGGATACTGCAAATGCGCTGATACGTAATTTTCCAAAGGGAATACCCTCGGTTGGCTTGAAGCCATTGGATGTGGTCCATGTGAAGGATACGGTGCTCATCAATGATCGGCCAGAGGGTGTACTTTGGTATTTTTTCCAACTGCTCAATCAGATCAATTACGGATTTGAGAATACAACTATAACTGACGTTAAAGGCTTCGACGAGGATCCCACATCGTCAAAAATAATAATTAAAGGACAAATACCCAGACTAATATATAAAGGCATATATAAAGCCATGGGCCGATTGCTTTGGATGGTGCAAATCAATTCAACTGGCGATTCTGAATCGGAATTCCTAAATTTTCGTTTCGATTTCACATTGAAAGTGCAAACAGAATATCGTAATGGTAAGCGATTTCTGAAGATCTATCAACTGGTGCCCAATGTATATGTGGATCGGTAAGTTAATTCCAAATATTTGAAATATGATGATACATTGTCACAACATTGCAGCTGGATACAATGGCTGGAGAACTTTTTTCCAGAAAATACAGACCTGACCATTGCCATGAATAGAATTTTCAATGCGAATTGGGTGGAGTTTTGGAATGAACTAGAAAAGCCAATATTGGAAGTATTCACGGGTGTATTTTTAAGTATGATCGAAGATATATTTTATAATGTGTCATACGATGATATGTTTCTACCTAATAATGAAAATGTGAATTGAAACTTTACATCGTTTGATTACTCAGCTATACCAAATATAAACGATAAATGGATTGAAAGTAGTAGTATATACCATACATACATATGTATGTATATATTCGTATAGGTTAAGTTCTCGCATTTAGTATCAAATGACATTTCGAAACCCAACATTGCATACTCTCCACTAATTATATGAAAACTGGAATTGATGTACGGAACTTAGTTTAATTCCTTTATTTTATTCATTTCTGACAATAAACCGGTCTATAAAACTATGATAATTACGTTTCCATTTGCTGAGCTTATAAATGTTCTGCTGAAAAGTCATTCGCTTTTATTCAATACTTAAACGCTGAGTCAAATACAGTTGGATTATTCTCTGACAAACATAGGACTTTTTCTATTTATATAAATTATATATATTTCAAGTATGCGTAAAACATTTCCTATTGTGATCGGACTCCATCTGTTGATCGCAATAAACTGTCAAACATTACGTGGGTAGACAAAATACAATTGTGTTGCCACATAAACAAATCTCTTTTTGCTATAGTGTTTTTTATTCTTTACATAAATTCGCATAGCAAGCAATATAAAGAAATGCCGTTTTGGCGATTCGAAATGTATTGTTGGATCAATGAATGCTGTGATACGACAGTATTCACGAGGATTATCTGCAATCGGTATGAGGCCCATCGATGTTGTGGGCATTGAGGATTCGAATGTTTGGAATAATGCCCAAATAGGTGGTGCTTGGTTCCAATTCAAGCTATTCAATCAAGCAAATTATGGCTTTGAGAATACGACAGTAAAGCGTATTAGAGGTTTCGGTAAAGATCCAACAGCCACCATAATGGAAATACACGGACAGATTCCAAGTCTTATTCATAAGGGTAACTATGTGGCTAAAGGACGAGTTTGGATGGTTGCCCTCAATGCGACAGGTAGCTCAACATCGGATTTTCAGAATCTACGATTCATATTGAAGCTAAAAGTCATACCGGAATATCGGAATAATAAGCGCTATTTGAAAATCTATGAACTGGTGCCAGTTGTCAATATCAGTCGGTGAGTTTTCAAAAATTATTTATATACATACAAGGGTGATCTGAATCTGATTGACATGAAGTTAGAAACATATTTAGAAATTGGACTCCTTTTTATATAAAAAATACAATATATTCTTGTTAGTCTGAAAAGTTTTCAAACTACCCTCGTACATATTATATGTATTTACATAGTCCAAACACTATATGATCAAAATCAATTTGACAGCTGGATTGTGTGGTTGGATAATTTATTCCCCGAGAACATGGATTTAACAATTGCAATCAATGAGCTGCTTAACGCGAACTGGTTGGAATTTTGGAATGAATTGGAGCCAGCATTTCTGAACATTTTTAGCGGTGTATTTACGAGCATGATTACAGATACATTTGAGAAAATATCCTACGACGACATGTTCCTCAAGGATAATGAGACTGAATCAAGCAATTAAGCTAAGCTCATATTTATATCAACTGTGAACGCGTTAATTAATGTAACAGGAAATATATATCTATAGTTCATTTAAATTATATACATGCATTTAACTGGCAATCCGGTTTTCCAGATAGTTGACTATAAACTTAACTCTAGCTAAACTCTTGACTTTATTTACAATCGAGCATTGGCTAAAGCAGGTTCTAAGTGAAATCGTGTCGTGATTGTGAACAAATGTAATAGGTAAAAAAATATATATCTACATATATAGCTATATTTTTAAATAGTATTCATAGCTAATCAAAACGTAATCGAATTGGGGATGCATAAATTTTCCTTATTGGTTGTCATATTGTTAATGCTATGTAAAACTTCATCGGAGATCGAGCTGCGTGAGTAATCAACTTTTTGCAGCCATTGTTGTGTATAATTAGAGAAACTATAGATATTTGTATATACAGCCGATGATATCAAGAAATGTCACTTTGGGGACTCCCAATGCGTTATCCATACCATGAACGATTTGATTAGACGCTATCCGAATGGAATATCGGATTGGTTTGCCTCCGTTGAATGTGACACAGCTGGAGGATATCTCGATTTTGAATCGGCCCAATGGTGCTGCAGTTTGGTTATCATTTTACTTAAAAAACTTAACTAATAAGGGCTTCAACAACGCAACCATAACCCATGTCCAGGGCTTCAATAAGGATCCCAGCCATAGCAGTATGATAATCAAGGCGTATATACCAAGGCTCATCCATGATGGCACATATAATATGCAGTCTCGTATTTTGCTATTTGTGGCAAATGCAACGGGAAGTTTCCGCTCTGAATTTCTCAATTTTCGCTTGGAAATATGGATAAAAGCTATACAGGAATTTCGCAGCAACAAGCGATACTTGCGCATCTATGAACTGAGGCCCAAAGTCGACCTGCAGCGGTAAGAAAATATAATAATAAAATATCACACAATATGCATATTGTGCTGTTTCTGTTTTATAGATGGATAATTTCTCTGGACTCATTATATATTGAAAATACGGATATGACAATTATAATGAATAATATTATCAATGAAAATTGGCTTGAGTTTTGGCAGGAGCTTGAGCCAAGTATGCTCAAAACCTTTGAACTATGCATTACGTCAATACTGAAAAAGGTCTTCGATAATGTCGCCTACGACGATTTGTTTCTGCCAGACGAATATTAATTGCATAATGCAATATATGTACTATGTATATATGAGAAAGAGAGTATATTGGTTTGTTGCTTTACTTGAATTTGTTAGCTTAATGAAATGAGTTTCTTCTTTCTTGTATGATGGGTTGTGTTTGAAAATAGTTTTAGGAAATAACTTATCAATAGAATTTAATTTATAATTATGGAATAAAGTTGACTTTTGTTTGGAATATTTATTCAAATGAATGAATGAATGTACATAGGTGTTGCCAGCTAGTTTTGAATTTTAGCTTTACCCAGATTGTGGAACTGGCCATCTAGTTGGAGCTCATCGTAGAATATGTGATCGTTGTAGATCTCGTCGCGATGGTACATGTGCTGGTAGCCCTTGGAGCTGTTGCCTCGCTTAAATTTCCGATGATCCGCAGCCAGTTTAAGCAGCTTTTGGCGGCTATGCGGCTGGCCAAGATATTGAAGTGGAGTGGCCTGATCCAGGGCTGGTGATATGTCCTGGTTGTGGCGTTTGCTGCGACGCTGGCGCCAGCCCCAGCGCATACGTTTAACGGTTGTCGGTGGCAGTGGCATGAGGTAAGTGCGAGCAGGCCGAAGACGTTTGGACTTGTATCTCGAATTCCGGGTCTTATCTCTGTAGTGGTCCACCACTTGGCAGGTCTGCATGTCTCTGGGCTTGGGTATGACGTCGTCCAGCTTGGGCGGACACTGTAGCACATAGTAGAGGCCGGCAGTGGAGGAGTCGTTTGCATGAGGCTTGGCCAGGTCGAGCAGCCGCAAAGGCACCTTGTAGTAGGCAAACATGTTGCGCTCGACAACAATTGCCGATGCGGCACTCAGCAGCAGCAATCCCAACTGCAGCATTGTGCAGAAGTGCAAAAGTGTTGGGCTAGACATGGGCAAAGTCATATTTATAAATGTAAATTACCTTTCAGCTTCAATGAGCGGCTTTGCAACCGCTTTGCGGTTAGCCGGCTATAATTTGGCTTTAATATTTATTACGAGCGAGCAACTGGTTTTCCTAGCAACCAGGCAGGTTGAATGAACCGTCGCTGCACCTAGGCCTAGGCCTAGGTCAATCAATAGTCGTAGTTGTCATAAAAAAATAGAAATAGAAATAGCAAAAGTTTTTGTGTACGGAAGTCATGCAAGAAACTGTTGCTTGTTTGCGTCTCAGCAGTGTTGCTACGGTTGGCTTAGCAACATTGCTGCGCAACAGGCGCAACAGTTATTTGTTTTCGTTTGTTTATAGCACTTTGACGCTTGCGCCTCAAATGTGCTATAAACTTGAAATATGTAGGGGAAATTTGGCAGAGTGGGGCGTACACCAAGCACTCCCCATTTGTTGCACATATGCAACAGATTTTGGCGTGACTGCTGCGAATTTTCGAGTTCATTGCGAATTCATATTCTAGGCATGTTGTGGCTTTGTTTCTGACGGCTTGCCGACACTGTGGCATGCAACAAACCTAACAACTTAGCCAATTACAACCGACACGCTGTTCTAATCAGGCGCAAATGGATTTATTCATAAATAATGTCAGTATTTAAGAAGCTAATAAATAAAGAGAAATATGATTAGATTATATAAGGCGTCTGAACGTGTTTGTGTGTGAAGCTATTAAATTGTGTCTCGTCATATTTGTGTGTCACGGAGACGCGAACGTATAATTGCATGGCAAACTAAGTAAATCATCGATATATTGCATTTCGATTGCGCACATTGCAAGAGCTCGATCGATATATTATGGCTCGCTTACCTACATACATATATCGCAGGGGAAAGCTAAAATGGCAGGGCTCTTTATTTACGTTGAGGTTTGTGTTGCAAAATATTTAATATTATTAAAAATAATAAAAAAAAATATAACTGATATTTCATATTGATTTAAATAATTTATACAAATATTATTTAAAATACAATATCTCTTCATTTATGTAATGACTGTCATCTAAAGGTTGCTCTAATCTGATAGATTCAAATAATTCGCTAGTCCTTACAACCCTTCATTGCACATTTTCTATTTTCATTTACGTAGGTAAAAGTTGGCAATAAATAATTGAATTAGCGCCTAATCAACTCCCCGATTACCTGCCGAAAGCCAACTTGATTAGGCAAAGTGCCAGAACGTCAAAACGTTTGCGTGCAATGGCAACATAAAATGGCGGCGCAACAATTGGCCGGAAGTAAGCTTGGCAACGTGGCTGACAACCAAATGTTATGGCACAGGGGAAATCAACAAAGGCAAAGGTGTAAAATAAACAAATGCCTAGCAACCGGGAGCTGCCACGATCAGTTTTTCCTAACTGGCTTACGTTGTCGTCGAAGCACTTCCTTTCAGTCAGCTAACGGAAGCCCAGGTGAGCAGTCGCAAAGCGGAAATAAAAATAAAGGCAGAATATATAAAATAATGGAAAAATTATGATAAAATAGTAAAATATAAGTCCAACTCTTTAAAGTGATTATAGATAGATTAATTTTTGTAAACAAATTAGTTACAAATGCAGAAACGCAGTTAAATCGATATTTGTATTAAATTTTAAGTTACATAACAGTTATAAAAGTGTTGTCTACTATGGAGAAAACTTACATAATCTATAAATTACACAAGTATTTAGGGCTTTAAAAGTATTTTGCCACTACACATAGAAAATTTTTCATAATTTATAGTATATAGATTTGATAGGATATATATTGATTATATAGTTGTTACTGGTAACAAGGTCAATCAAACACTAACACATACGCGCTCACACACAGCCACAACAACCACCAACAACAACAACATCAGTGTTAACAACAGCAAACAAATACCTGGAGTGCGCCTTCGATGGAGCAGCCCTCCACAAGCGCCGAGGCGGCCGCTGCCGCTGCGGCCGGCGGGCCGGATCCACGTCTGGAGTTGATGGGCTCGTTTGTCATCAAATCCCTTAAACTGAAGCCAGAGAAGTGGACGCGTGTCATCACGGTGGAGGAGCACAAGGGCATAATTAAAGAGTTTCTGGATCGAAATACACCTGTGGTGTTGATTATCATATTGACGCCCGCTGCGCAGCTGGTGCCCTCCACCACGTTTCCCCTTTCGCAGCTGAAGAGCAAAGGCATCTACTTTATCAAACGGTATGCCAAGCCCATACCACGTGAGAATTGTGGGAATTTCATCATTTTTGGCGACCTGGCCACACGCACAATCGACCAGCTGTCGGCTCTGGTCGAGGAGGTGCTGGTGCCGTTGCTCTCCAATGAGGATAACTACAGAAGCTGGCCCATCATGGTCGCGCAAGATGTGCAGAAACATGTGCACAGCTTGAAGAGCACCGTGCATCAGGTCAAGGGTCAGGTGAGCGGTGAAACCATACTGGCCATGCCCGTGGGCGTTGAGAAAATAGTTAAAGCCGCCAAGGAGCTGACCGAAACGCAGCATTGCCAGTTCGATCTATATCTGAAGAGTGCCATAGAGGGCGTGGTCATCAAGTGGGCGACTCAGATACACGAGGTCATCAAGGAGAGTCCAACAAACGCCTTTGCCAATGGCCAGAACCCCACGCCGCACACAGGTGAGCCTCAGCCGCGAGCTCTAGTCACACGTGCATATATTACTTTGTTGCTGTTATTTTTGGCACAGCTTTATTTATTATTTATTGATAAAATTCAAGTTTTGCAGTTGACGTTTGTTTTGATATATCCTAGCAACGTGCCGGCATTGGCCAAATTTGCATGTTTATTACCCGCTTGCCTAGCCTGTACCTGCCTGTGTGTCATATGGGTAAAAATGTCTTCAAAACTAGCTTTTATTATCTGTTTGGTGAATGGCGACATGCAACATTTCCTTATGTCAAAACTACAATTACTTTTTGGGCCTTTTTATTATCAGTCGACATCTATTCGTCTATAGTTCTTGCCATCTACAAGGCCTTACTTGAGGTCGATGACGGCAAAGCCTAAAGCGTTAATAGCCTAAAACCTATGCGATTTTTATTATTTTAAAAGTAAGCACACTTCGGAAGTTTTCTTTTCGTATACAACTACTAAATATAGAATCAATATTATTTAACATTCACTTATTGTAGTCATTAATAATACATTTTCCTTACGTTTTTACTAATACAATACTATGCTAAGTAAATTCATAATTTAGTTAATCGAATTACATTACTATGTTCGCCCCTTTCAACTTTCTCATAGAATTTACATTTTGGAACAATCGTCTTAAGAATCTATCCTTTATCTATGACCAATTGCGCAATGAGCGCATACGAGCCATGGCCCTAATATTGGAATACTCGTCGAGTGCTTACCATCCGTGCTTTCAGACGCTCTTCAAAAACGTTGTCACGGGTGAGTGCAGGCGTTTTAATGGCCCAACAGCATGCCATTGCTATTGAGTTTAGATATATACATATATATATATATATATTTGTCTATCTTTGCCTTTGGCATGCCAACAAACTGTTTTGAACTTGATTGGGCAATCGCAGCACTTGCCGAGGCAAAGGATATAACGCTCTATTTGAACCCATTGAAACGTCCACTGCATCAACTGGAGGAAATAGATTTTGCCGAATTCAAGCCTCTGCTAATACCTTTCATGCATACCGTATGCACGCTTTGGGGCAACTCACGCTACTATTGTCAGTCTGCGAAAATAACTGTACTTTTGCAGGAGATATGCAATTTGATTATACATCAGGTATGTATATATGTGCAGTATGAGTGGCAGGCAGTGTGCCAGAAAGTTTTTCACTTTGTTGATGGATAACGATGACAGTTGAAAAGGCAATCAATCAGCAATCAATAACTTAATTAGTTCGTAAAACAAATTGCCTTCCTGCAGAATGGATTAAATTAAAATTTAAATAAATAAATTCAGTCAACTGATTGATTATCATGTATATATTCATAAGTTAATCATATGCTACCTCTTTTATTCTAGGCTAAACGTTATTTGGATCCCTCGTCTATATTTCACAGCGACATAGACGAGGCCATGCAGCGCCTGACACTCTCTATACAGATATTAAAGTTCTTTCGGGAACTTTTTGACTATTACAAGGAGCGCTTGGCTGCCTTCTTTACGGAGCCTGAGGAGCGTCCACCGATTTTGTGGACTTTTCATCCAAATTCAGTTTTCAAGCGCTTTAATGC